GAGAACTGGCTTTTTGTCCAATCCTCCAAGCGTGACACCAGCTTCCTCTGTGGTTTCAGGAATCCACTTCAGCTTCTTCCTGCGCTGAGCCCCTGCCTTGTTCATCTGCCCAGGACACAGTTTCTCTGAGACAGCCCTAGGGGCAGTGGCACGAACCCCAGCCTCAGAATCTGGGCTTGCAGCCTGGATCTACCACCCTCTGGAGAAGAGGTTGCCCCTGCTAACCCTCCTTCCCTTAGCTGTGTGGGAGTTCGGTGACTCTTTCACAAGATCGAAGTGCAGACTGCAGCGCACAAACACGGGAGATCGCGTAGCATGGGGCGGCCTCTGTGGGCAGTGACTGGCTTCCTACATTTCCGTACCATGGTCCCGGGGTGAAGGGTCCTGAGTTCAACCCTTCCACACTCAGCACACGAGGCTGAACCTGAGCCGGCTGGGAAGCTTCAACAAAAGGTAGTCAGCACGGTGGTGCACACCTGTAATTATAACACTCTGGGACACTGAGGCAGGAAGATCTCATTTGAGCCCAGCCTGGCAACTTAGCCACTTATGAAACCTGTCTCGAAAGGGCTGGGGATTATAGCTCCATGCAAAGACCTTAGCTCAGTCTCCAGTAACACAGAAGAAGAAGAAGCAGGAGGAAGAGGAAGAGGAGGAGGAAGACACAAGTTCAGCAAGGGCAGAAAAAGAGTGGTCTTGCTACCTGCTGGCCCTGCAGGGGACAACATAAGCAGGGACTACCAGATGTTTCAGGGCCAAATGATCAAACCCTGAAAACAATGCTTCAATCAATGATGGGCCACTGAGCGCTTGGTTATAATGCAGCTGAAGACTTACCTCCCGTAAGGTTATAATGCAGCTGAAGACTTCCCGTCGCCTAGAGAAGACGTAGCTGGCGTACCATCTCAGCACAATGCATTGCTCACGCTCACGTGTTCCTGGTGACACTGCCGTAAACAAACCAAGCTGCCTTGTAAAAGTCTAGCCGATGAAATCACGTGCAGTAATCACACTTGATAATGACCATCAGCCGCTGTGCCACTGGTTTGTGTATTTACTGTTCTGCCTTTTATCATTGTTTTAGGGCTGTCCTTCTACTTACAGTTTTAAAAAGCTAGCTGTCAAACAGCCTCCGGCAGGGCGCCTGGGAGGGATTGCAGAAGAAGGCATTGGTATGGTAGGAGAGGACAGCCCTGTGCTCTGCTGCTTGAAGACCTTCCAGTGTGACAGGAAGTGCGGGTGGAGGACAGCAAGGCTGAGGTGTGTGTGTGTGTGTGTGTGTGTGTGTGTGTCTTAGCCTACACAGTATGTAGTACGTCATAGGCTCCACATCTACATATGTGCAAGTGCGCTCTATTATGTCCACACGACAATGGCTGTCAGTAAGGAAGCCCGGCCTGAAGTCCAGCCGGGTGGAGCTGGACAAGTCCTTCAGACCAGGGTCTGAGTCAGAAAACTTGGGTCCTGCTCAGCCCCAGCAGCCTCAGGGCCTGCTGTGTCTGTAAAAGGAGAAACAACTGGAACAACCCTAAAAATTCTTTGAGCTATAAAATGTTCTAATTTACTACCAATGAAAGGAAGAAAATGTGTACGTAGTAAAATAAAAATTCTTTCTCTAGTGGGCCAAGAAAGAGTACCAGAAGCATTTGGCTTCCCAGCTGCTCTCTGCCCTGTTGAAAATTCAGGCTCTGGCATGCTGATGCCCCGTCTGGTTTCCTTATGCTTTAGTCCTTGGTGGGCCCCAGATGGGACGTTCAGTAATGCCCCAATAATATATCCTAATCAGATGAGTTGGCCTAAAGGCTGTAACTTTATGCTACACAGACTTCCCAGAGCCCCGCAATCGTACTCAACTATGGGATAATTACCTAAGAGTAAAATATTTCTCCCAGCTTACCTATTGTTGCGTTTTCCTGGCAATAGTTCTCTAAAATGGGTTAAAATAATTTTTCTGATGTCGTGCCTGAAAAAACATATACAGAAAGTTTTAGACCTTTATCCAAAAGGTGTCAGTGTAGGAAAAGTGGGTGTATTGGTCAGCCTTCCTGTTACTGGGTCAAAACACTCTGACACCCACAATTTAAAGCAGAAGAGTTGAATTTGGCTCATGGTTTCAGAGGATTCAGTCCATGGTCAGCTGTTCCCAGGCAGAAACATCACGGTAGAAGGGTGTGGTGGAACACAGGGGAAGAGCCACCCGCAAGAGATGTACCTTCCAAAGGTACAACCTCAGTGACCCCCTTCTCCAGCTGGGCCCTACGTCCTAACAGCACATCCAATTCTGAACATTAGTGGATTAATCAACTGTTGAGTATGACACTTCTGTGATCCAATCACTTCTCCAGGAAGCTCAATCTAGTCAGGTTGACAATGGAGATTATCTGGCACAGTAGGAGAAGTTTGATCCTGGAATTATCTAGATCCTTCCTAACTAAGCAAGCCTTGGGACTGCCTACCTCTTGCATCCTCAAACGGAAGAAAATATCTTCTTTCTCCTTGCCAAACATTTGCCCCCAAGTCACTGCACCTGCTGTAAAATAAGACAAATCTCCTGAGAGCTGAAGGGGGTTGAAGCTTCTGTCTTCTGCCTTTCTTTCAAGATGCTTGGATCTGCTGCTAAGCCTTCATTTGGAATAAAGGAGGAAATATAATCAGCCCACAGTATCTGAGGGTTTCGAAAATATTTGAAAAAAAATCTGACTGTATTGAACATATACAGACTTTTCTTGTTGTTATTTAGGGAAAAATACAGTAGAGTTATTTACATAGAACTTAGGTTGGATTAGGTATTATAAGTAATCCAGAGCTGATTTAAGTACAGTAAGTCCCTGGTTTACAAACGAGTTCCATTCTGGGAGAACATTCATAAATCAGATTCATCCATAAGACCGACAAAGTGAGTCCTACACACCTTTGACACAGATACGCAAGGCATATTGCTATGCGCGCCCTTGCAGTACCCTGCACATGACCACTGCTTTCCCTCCGGCTTCCCGACATGCTGGGCTCTGGCTGAGCACTGGACCACTGTACACTACTGCACTTTCAGGAAGCACCCGGCGGCACAGCTGTTACAATGTCCAGCAGACATGTGAGCTACTGTCGTGGTTCATGCAATCTACGAATGTGTGTAAGGCGAGGTCCATTCATATCTGTGAAAGTTCACCACTCGAATGTTTATAAGTCGAGGATTTACTGTATATGGGGGCGTGCATAGGTTCTAAGCAAATACTGTGCCACTTTTTTTTCTTTTTGGTTTTTTTGAGGCAGGCTCTCGCTATGTAGTCTAGGCTGGCCTCAAACTCATGGCAATCCTCCTGCCTCAGCTTCTAAGTGCTGAGATTACAGGCCTGTGCACCATGCCTGGCTGTACCACTTTACATAAGGAATTTGAGCATCGCAGGACACAGTATCGATGTGCGTCCTAGAACCCATCCCCAGAGCACACCAAGGCCCGACTGTACCTTCATTGCTAACTCCACTGCCTTGGGAAACAGTTTGGGCCAGAATCAATCAGGCACTAAAATCTCGCTAAGCCTTTCGTGTCGGGAGGCACTCTTTAAAGCCTTTTTGTTAATTTTCCTCCAGATTATATTCCCCTTATTTTCTTTCTCATGGCCTCCTGGCCAGACAATCTGAACTCACAGTTTCTGAAATCCTGACTATGCTCTACCCACAAACACAGTTTGGCTCCTGCGGGCCCAGTGAGCAGGTTCCAAACACCAGGTGCTGGTGCCAAACAAGTGTGGTACGTTCCAGTGGAGGATGCTTTGCCCCATTGGGGGACACCAGACAGGAATGTGGGCAGCTTCAGTGTCATTAAAATCCTGTGCTGCAGATACAAATAAAAGTAGGCTTCCATGTGGGGCGTGCTTGTCATTGTACTGACATCTCAGAAGTAATCTTCGCTGGTTCCTGTATGTTCGCTAGCTTTCTCTCCTCCAGATTAGAACCCGTGAGAATTCTAAAACCGATAAGGTAATAGTACTGTTTCTTAGGACCTATGTGTAACTTTGGGGGAAAGGAAATGTTTAGGAAATGTTGAAAGAGTCTCCTTCTTACTCAAGGAAAATTGTCACAGATGTGGGGTGACAAAGATCTTAGGACATTGAATGTGGGTCAGATTCTCCAGTCTCTATGGGTTGGCTTGGAAGGGTGGAGGAGCTCATTTTCTGCACAGATGGGGAATTGCTGAGGTGCCGGAACACCCACGGGACACACAACCCAGTCCTTTGCTGCAGATTTTTTTTTCTTTTTTTTTTGGTATCAGGGATCAAACTCAGGTCCTTGAGTTTTCAAGGCAGGCAGGATAACAACTGAGCTAAATCCCTGGCCCTCTTTGCTGGGGATTTTTACAATGACCAGGATGCAGATCGGGATTTCTTTCCTTTTCTGGTTGCCTTTAGACTTGACACGATGATCTGGAAGGGGAGATATTTGCCAATCTGTCACTTCCCTCTCTACCACATTGCCATAATTTCCTAGAGAACAACATGAGTCTAACACCCAGCGTGCCTAAATCCCATGCAGCTCTGTATAAACAAACAGCCCACGATAGGCCCCGGGTCAGTTCAACATTTCCTGATTTAGGATGTGATGCTAAGTTAAATCTTATGCCTTTGATTCATTTCCCAGTAACGCATGGCCTTCCTTATTCTACCCTGGCCAACGGCAGAAATGATATTCGCTAGCTTCCCACCCCAGTGCCCACCAAGCCCAGGACCTGAGATGGCGTGAATTTCTCCCACAGTAAATCCAGATCATAAAATGACACTTCAGACCCTAGGTCCTCTTCCATTGTTTCCAGCTGCTGTTCATTCTAAGCATTCCAGCTGCTGGGCGAGTGACTTCCAGGATGGTCTTCGGAAACCAGAGGGTCCCATGCTGTCCCTGGCGCTGGGTTTTCGGAGCTGAACATGGGCTTTATTGTGCGCTGGGAATCACAGGCATTTTCAGAACTAGAAAAGACCTTGAAAATCGTGTCTGACATCCTTTCGCAGGTGGGAAAATCAAGTCTTCTTGGAGCAGGTGACAGTGGGCCTCAAGCCATGGTGGCCACCCTGAAGAATGCCAGAGTCCTCAGCTCAGTCACAGCCCACGTGCCTCTGTCATCTGCTCTGCAACCCTCGAACCCTGAAATGCAGGGCTCGAGTCAGCCCGGCTGGAGGTGAGGTGTCACCCCGAGGAAGGATGCGGGCCCAAGGCAGAGCCAGCTCCGCCTTTCCTTCCCAAAGCCGGAGGAGGGCGTTTTCTATTCCTCTAGGGTCTCGCTCTCTCAGTCTGTCATGATCTTTATTTGCTGTTTCGTGGAGTGCACCCCAGGACACAGAGATTCTCAAAGACCATGAATCCCGCCCTCAACTCCAGGAACCCAACTCTGATCTCCTGGAGCACCACCCCCCAGATCTGCCTGAGCTCCAGAGTCCCCCAGGACTTGACTTATGAACCACAGAGTCAGAGAGAAAGGTATTCAGCTCAAGACAGCTGTCAGGGAGCGTTCAGGTCCCAGGGCAGGGTTCCCTCTGGGCACAGGGAGTCTTCATGTCTGCACTGGCCATGGCAGTGGGCAGTGGGCAGTGGGCAGCTGCTCAGACCCCTGTGACAGAGACTCACACACAGAAGGTGGGCTGAAGTGTGAGCCACACACCCTGCAGCTTTGGGCTGCAATGTCTTGGGTGGGGGGGTCACCCAGTCCCTGGGTGGGGTAGGAAATGGGCATAGGCTGTCTCTACTGGTGTTCCAAAGATTGAGCTCAGTCTGTTTCTCTCCCTCTCCCTCTCTTCTTTCTTTCATTACTGGGGATTGGACACAGGGCTTTTGCACTGAGCTGTACCCTGTCTTTTTTTTTTTTTTTTTGAGACAGAGTCTCACTGTCACTAAGTTGCCTCAGCTGAGCTAGAACTTGCAAACCTCCTGCCCTAGCCTCCTAGAGTGCTGGGATTATAGGTGTGCACCACCATGCCCCACTTCTTTCTTTTTCTTTTAGCGCTGGAGATCAAACCCAGGGCCTGCACGTGTGAGGTGAGCGCCCTACCTGAGCGTCACCACAGCTCTGATACCACACCTTAAAGCGACCTCACCTTGGCACTGCAGTCCTGAGGGGAGTGGGAGAGAATTGCCTTGGGCCCTGGCCTCCTCGTCCGAGGCTTTCATGTGGTACATACAAGTTTTGCAGCGAATATGGCCTCATCTGAGGACCTGGCTGTTTCTCTCTGTGTCTGCCGAGCCTCAAATGTGACTCTGGCTCCCTGCCCTTTGCTGACCCCAGCATGTTTAACACCATCCCGGGGGAGCCCATGGACTGACCCCTTAGAGGCCACAGTGCAAACCTGGAGGCCCTGAGGCTGTCAGATGGTGAGTCCCACGACGGGAAGCACCCCTTGTGGTCACAGCCCCAGCGAGGGACATGGGTGTTATTCACGTGCACGGCGTATCACAAGGCTGTGGCCTGTCCCGGGCACTTGGGAGAAGGATGCGGTTCAGTCCTGATTTGGCCCCGATCACAGCTGCGACACGGGGGCTGTTCCTGGTCCTGGTTTTCAGATTCATAGGGCGGAGCGCACCAATGCTCGGACTGTCGCAGCAGGAAGCGGGAGCTGGACCAGCCCAGGCCTGGGAGCCCCTGCACCCCACATGCGATGGCTCCACATCCCTGCCCCAGGCAGGCAGTGCAGGGAACATGGCCACTTCCCCTGTGCATCTCCCACCGAGGCAGGGCAGGGATGGTTCGAGCAACAGCGAGTGCGGGAGCTCCATGCCTGTCTGCTTCTTTCCGTGCTCCTGGACCGTGCAAACCCGGTTTTGCTCGGGGAGAACCTCGGGGACATCTAAAGCCCGAGTGAGCACATCCCACCACTGGCGGGGCGATGCTTGTTAGCGACCTTGACAAACTGGGTTTGCTTTCTTCCTGGCGAGTAAGCGTGTGTTTGGAAAAAGAGCCTTCAGGCTGCTGGTCCCAGGACAGCGACCCCAACAAGCCAGCCAGAGGGGACCTGGGGCTGGGGCATTGGGGACAAGGGTGCAAGGAGGCCTTTGCAGTGCAGCCTAGGACTGGGCAGGGCCCACGGCTCATAGCCCAGTGGCTGCGAGTCTGGAGGTGGGCAGAAGAAGCAGGTGGCTCCTCTGTGGAATGTCATAAAACCCGGGCAGAGCTGGGCTTCATTCTCAGGGACAGCTGCCAGATTCTTGCCCTTGAAATAATTTTTCCAGGTCTTTCTATTAGGAAAATGTTCAATTTGGAGGATGAGGGAGGCAGTGTGAAGACTTGGAAGGAACAGGCAGATGGGAGCTGAGCCCTGTGACCTCTGATAGAAGAGGGAGGTGACGCCGGCGCAGGAGCCAGTTTGGGGACAGCATCAGGGCCACAGGCAGGGGTGGCAGAGCTGGGTTGGGCCGACACCACCCTGACTTCCTCCCTGAAACACCCCCTCTGCAGACACCCGAACAGCTAAGAATCTGCACGTAGGCAGCGGGCTCCTGGCCCTGACCCCTGTGGACCTCTCCCCACTGCTCTGCACCGGCAAGGCCACAGTAGCCCCAGCGGGGAGGTGACCCTGTCCTGAGAACTCACACTTCGCAGGGAGCCCTGGACTGCCAGGAACTCTGAGTCACCCCTCCTTTCAGCAGCCCTGGCCATGCTGCACTTCTGGGATCGACAGCCTCGGAGGGTACGTGACATTCCTTAGCTCGCAGTGGTAAGTCAGCCACCCACTTCCGCACTAGTCATGGGGAACAGGACCAAACAGATTGACTTGACGTTTAACATGCCTCTAGCGGGGGACAGGGGAGCCCAGGCCAGAGCTCCACCCCTCTCTGGAGGGCAGAGCTAGGTACCCTGCCCGGGGACATGGGCAGCCCCTCACCTGTCCCCGGATGGGAAACAGTCCCCGGCACTGTCGGTCGCAGGCACGGCTGCCTCAGAGACTTTGTCCGAGATGCTCAGGACAAGTCCTGAGAAAGGTGACCACTCTCTGAAACCCTTGGCCCCTGGGTAAACGTTTGTGCGTCCGAATCCCAGAAAAACGTCATCTATTACCAGGACAGTGAACACACAACCGAGGGCAGCCTGGGCAGGCGGCCACCACTGTCGCCATGGAGAAGGACCTCGTGGTGGAGCATGACATCCTGGGCAGTGCCAGAGGCTGCTTGGAAGACGGGTACCGGGGAAGACACTCTCGGGGCGCCGCGTGGGCGGGGCGGGGCTGCAGCCACAGATAGAGGCGGGCTTCTTGGGGGCACCCTTCACGGAGGGGTGGGGCTCTCGGAGACGGGGCTGGGAGCAGACAGTGACACGCTCCGGACTGGCCTGCAGAGCTCATCCGATCCCTGGGATCAGGCCTGGAGGAAGCCGAGGCGGGGCCTCTTTGGGGGCCTTGTCCGTGCCGCACGAGGGCTGAACTAGGGTTGATGGACAGTGGCAGCTGGCGATGGCAAGGATAATGACTATGGGACTCATCCCAGCCTCCCCCGGAGAGCACCCTGTGACCAGTCGTGTGACACCAGGCACTCACCGGCACTGTCACCTGTGCTGTCAGAGTCATGGCCCTAAGTGGCAGGTGCGCTATCAGCCCATCTTACAGAAGAAGCAACTGAGGCTCAGGGAGGGCAGCGACAGCTCACAGTGGCTGCGTCAAGCGGCAGGGCCAGGACTCACACCAAGTGCCATCTGGCTCCAGCTGCACCCCGAAAGGCGGGGTAACAGAAGTGCTGGGAACCAGTTAACCATGGGTCCCTCGGGGGACAGATGGCAGGACCAGGGCAGGCAGGTGAGGAAGGAGGAACTTGGAACTCCCTCCAGCCTGACTGGCGGAGGTGACAGACTGCAGTGGCAGGGTGAGGTCCAGGTAAAAGACAGGCTGGAAGACAGGTTGCCTTGACCCAAGCGACAACTCGGGGGGAAGAAGCAAGGGGCAGACAGTGACGGGGAGTGAGGTACTGTGCCAGGCATCCCCATGACACCAGGGACACGTCCTCCTGTGTCTCCAGCTGGAGGAAACGGAAGTCTGGAGATGGGAGGCTGTCGCGGAAGCCCTCAGAGCTAGGAAGTGGGAAGTGTGGGACTCCAGATGAAGCTGAACTCACGTTTGTCTGCACAGACCAAACACGCAGAGAATTCTCCTGCAGGGCAGAAAGCTACCTGCTGGAACCCCAGACACCTTACATGCTTTTTCTGTATTCTCTAAACCTTCTATCATCAATGCGCAAGACTTTTATAACAAGCAAAAGAAAAGCAGAAACTTGGAACTATAAACTGATAGATGTTTTGGAAGATAATTCGCCAGCCTCCACTTTCCAAAGCTGAAAATTTGGCATATTCTTTGACCCTCTGCTTCCAATTTTAGAAGACAAACAAGCAGGCATAGACGTATGTATAAAAATATCCAAAGCAGCAGATTAGAGAAAGCTTGGACGTAGTTTCCATATCAAGAATAAGGAATGGAAATAAACTTTGGCTCCGTCACCCGGTTGAACACAATAGGCGGCAGCGTATGGGCTGTCATGGTGCCATGATGTGAATGTCCTTCCAACACTCAAGCTGAGACACAATTGCCATTGTGATGGGATGAAGAGGTGGATTCGTCCTGTTTCTGTGGGAGTGGGATCCCCATAAAGAAGATGGGTTTGGCCCCATGTGCTCACTGCCTTGCCTTATGCCATGGGATGACCCAGCCCAGAGGCCCTGTCACGTGCTCCCACCATGCTCTTGGACTTTGCAGCCTTCAGAATCATGAGCCAAATAAACTTCCGTGTTTATAATTTACCCAGTTGGTGGGATTCTATTATAACAGCAGAAAACAAACGAAGACACATGAGTAAAGATTGTTCCCAATATATCAATACAAGAGAAAAATTAGTCTTAAAACTATCTACCAATTGATCTCATTTTGGTTAAAAAATGCAATTATACAAATGTCTTCATTAAAGCACTTGGTTTTGTGGAGAAGGAACAACACAAGTGATCATTTAGGGACTGGAGATTTAACTCAGTGGTTCTGTTGCCCGCCTTGCAAGTGCAAGGTCCTGAGTTCAATCCCCAGTACCAAAAAAAAGGGTCCTGTGAATTAAATGCAGGACCCAGAAACAAGTGACCATTTAACCCTAACTGGGGCCAGTGTTACTTGGAAGAAGGCACGCAGAGTGTGTGTGACAGACGGAAAGCCCGGCCTGGTCAGGTGCTGGTCACACAGGAATTATGAGAATGGAAAGCATCTAATCTACCCCAGAATGCTCTGTGACTTTTTTTTTCTTGTTAATTGTCTGTATTTTTTCTTGCTTTTTACCCCTAAAATAAAGATGGATTACTCAGAAAGAAATATACTTTGAAATGATGTTTTTAAACAAAATAAGAGACAATTGTAGAGTAAGAAAAGGGGAACAGAGTCAGAGTGTAGCTCAGTGCCTAGCATGTGAAAGGGCCCTAGGTTTGAGGCTGTTACCAGGTTCGGGGGTCTGGAGTCTCCTTCTAAAGATTCTTTCTGAGTTCTTCTTGTCCTGCACAAAGAATTGAACAAAACAAGTGCAAAAAGCAGCAAGGTTTTGCATTTATTCAAGGTAGGGAAAAAAAACCTGCTCTGTAGCGTGAGCATGAACCACTTAAAAGAAGGAAAAGAAGTGCACTCTACAGGGTGAGAGCAACCAGTGTGAAAGAGAAGAACACCCAGTGGCCAGGATCTTAATGAAGGCCACCTTTTGTGTCCCTCACTCCTCGGCCTGGAGTCATATCTAGGTCGTCCTATCAAAAACCTGCCTGAGTTCTAGTGAGAAGAGTTGAAGATGGCACTTTCTGATTGGCTCCAGGTAAGGGCTTGGGTCCATGTCTCCTGGATATCTGTGATTGGCAGGTCCCACCCATTTGCACAGCCTGTTTGCTATGCCCTAATCTCCTGCCTTGGCCCCAGCACAGAGGTGGGGTGGAGAATGTGCACATTCAGACACAGAAGATGTCTCTGAAAGACTTAGCAGGATAAGGACCAAGTAGGACAAAGGAGAAGGAAGTCCCTGATGACCTTAGATAGTTCTCTGGAAAAGGAGAAAGTTATGTCCAGTCACCTTCCTGCCTCAGCTGAGGCCCGAATTTTCCATTGGTGGATGTCATCATTTTGGGCTGTTCGTGCCCCGAACAGAACTGCCAACTCCTCCATGCAGGCAGACCCAGCACTCACTGGTATCCCTGTCTGGCCTGCGGTTGCATCACTATCTGCTCTGAATCTCATTCTAGATTCTTCTTCCTTCCGCCCCCCTATTCACATTTAAGCGAGCCTTGAATATCTCCTAATCTGCCTCCTCATCTCACCACCTCCCTGCCTCCAGTCCTCCCTGTCCTCACCCCATTTCCATGCCTTCTCAGCAGAGCACCCCGGCCTGTGGAATAGTCCAGCCCCTTCGGAATACTGCAAGTCATGAAGCAATAAGCACCCACCTATGCACGTGTACAGACTTGTAAAAGTTTGATCAAATTATCATTAGATTATTATTCAAATGATTTCCTTGGGAGAAATTTCCAAGAATGGATTCACTTCCATGTTTCTGAATGGCACCCTAATGCACCTCCTCCTCCAACAAATATTTTTAAGGCAAGTGGGGGGGGATCTTAATTTTTGTGCCCTGTCTCTGCCTATATTCTTTTCTTTTGTCTCTTAAACCAGGTTATCTTTTCACCAAGAAAGAGCACAGTATTTTAATTTTAAAACATTACGTATTTAAGAACCTCATTCACTCCAGATTTTTGGTTTGCTTTTACATGGATATTGCTTCAGGTTATAGAAACTTTTTTCTAATTGGCTGGCATTTCACAAGTTTCCAATGGGGCAATTTCTCCCCAGTGAACTCCCATTCCAAAACCAGACAAGGGCCCGGGATGTAGCTCAGTGGCGCCACACCTGCCTCTCAAGCGCAAGCTCCTGAGATCCATCCCCGGTACCAGGGGAAAAAAACAACACAAACAAGCCAACCAACCAGAGCAAAGATAGCACGGGTGAACTTATTTTCTTCCATGTGTTCCAAGCCAACAGTGAGAACCAAATAGAAATAAATGGGGGCTCATCTGTATTTATTCTCATTAGCATAATTGGTCATTTCCCAATCTTAATAAAGACAAAAACTTGGTAGTCGAAGCTCTGTGGGTCTGGAGACGCCTTTTCCTTTGAATTGTCTTTCAGCAGTTTTTGGCAAAGTTGGACAGTGCTGGAATTTTCAAGGGGATAAAATGATAACTGAATAAGTGATTTGCATGTCGTTCCTCTGGGGCATTCCTTCTTGGTCTTTCTCTCTCTCTCTCTCTGTCCCTGGAATTATTCAGGATTCCTACCCGAGGGTGGCTGGGCCATGAGTATTTGCAACTGCAACACTGACTTTTGTGAGCTCTTTCGGGCTAAGGGGAGAGATTTCAGAATTTTAGATCCTCAACGTCAACCATCAACTTCAAATAAAACATATCGTGTCCAGGCCAAATACTCATTTTCAGCTCTAGAGAGTTCCCCTGGAACATGCTTTTCAATGCCCTTAGCAAAGTCTCCACTCTCCAAACTTCAGGCTGGCTGTCTCATCCTCACAGGTGACACAAATCAGTTGGCCCCATCTTTTGCTAAAAAGAACAAATCACTGGCTTGCTCCCTCCTCCCTTTTTTGCTCAATTCTGCTCAATGCAGGTTCTCAGAAGGAACTTGCCCTTTGTGCCCCAGGGCCTTTACATGTGCTTTTTCTCTGCCCTCCAGGCTCTCCAGCCTGCCCCTCTCACTTTCTCCCAGTCTCAGGTCCTGTGGGACTGCCTGGAGCCTTCTGGACAGCTTCCTGGCTGTAGACCAATTTGTATGTCTATTTTCTGTCCCCACAAAGAGGTGGAGCCCAACAGAGGGAGGACCAATGTTTGTGATCCTCCATTGATAATGTCACCGTATGGAGGGGCCGCAGGGCTTCTTTCCTGGTCCGTGGGGTCCTGAACAAAGAATTGGACACAACACACAGAAAAGACAGTAAAACTGTACTTTTATTGAAGCAGAAAAGAAGCCCGCTCTGCAGAGTGAGAGGAGCTGCTAAAAAGGCTCACAGCAGCCAAGGATAAGGGAAAGGGATCCTTTGTACCCCAAATTCCCGGGTTCGCTTTCTTCCATGCAAACAAGGCAGGGGGACATTTGTCCTATCAGACACTCACTGTTGTCACACCACGTGCAAGGTGTTCCATCAAAAATCTTGTGTGTGGGCCGGGGATTTAGCTCAGTGCTTCCGCCTCCTGCCTCACAAACTCAAGGACCTGAGTTCAATCTCCAGTACCAAAAAAAAAAAAAAAGCTTGTGTGGCTTCCTGTTCTATGTAAATGAAGGATCAGAAATGGAGTCTTTTGATTGGCTGTGCTCATATGCAAATGAAGGACTGAAAAGAGTGTCTTCTGATTGGTCCCGTGAACAATCTCTCCTAAGCAGCAGTGTCAGACCAGGAGCAGTCTTGGAAGGGCTGGGGTAGCAGCACACTAGAGAGCTGTCCCCTCCTGGCAGAAGGTCCCTACCTCCACAGGACACACCGCCATCTAGACAGAGGCTGTCGGGCAGGCCTGTGGAGTCACCACTGCTCCTCCTGGGGATCCCTTAAATACCCTCCAGTGGTGCCATACCCCAGCCTTCCACTCCACTCTGAAAACCACCATCTACAGCGGCTGGGCCCGGGAGGTGGTCCGAGCCTCTGCCTACAGTCCCATCTCCACCCGGCTGGGGCCCAGTGACACCACCTTCCTATTCAGACGCCCACCCTGGGCTCGGTGGCCCCAGGCCCCTGGCCCCACCTGCCTCTCTCCTCACCCCCCCACCCCCACCCCAATCGGCCACATGGGCTGTTTTGGGGAACCTTGGACACTTGGAGCTTGTGCTTGTCCCGCGCTGGGCTCCCTGGGGCTGTCTCCCCTCCAGGCTGCTTCCCGGTCCTCAGGTCAGAGGCCTCCCATGCCCTCAGGCGGGAGGCACTGACATTCCCACGAGATTTCCTCCTCTTATCTTTCTCTGAGCTGCTCATTTGGAGGATGTGTCCCAGCACCCACTTTCCTGACAGTGGGGTGCTCAGTGCGGAAGGGGACCCAGCTGGCTTCTGGGAAGAGCAAATCTACTCTGAATTATCATCCAGTGGAAGGCTGTGGCTGGCATGGTGGAGAAATGCAGAATGTAGAAAACAGGGAGATCTTTTGGGAGTGGAAGGGGATGAAAACAGATCTCAGACGTGCTGGTTGTGTATGCGTACCAACCCCCTAAGAGAATGCAGCCATACACTGCAAACACACACGAATACAAGTAAACTTTTTTTTAAAGGATGTAGGATTGCAAGGGGCCAGGACTCACTTGACCCAGGTTGATACCCTGATGTGACCCCACACCCTATCTGGCCCTGCCACGAGTGACAGCTACTCATGGCTCACAGATGTGGGGACATCAAGCACAGCCTCTGAGGCGACACTGTGCCATGATCCAAGGACAGGACACCACATAGCCCAACCATCCACTCAGATTCACCCGTTCACCTACTACTTAGGAAACACATACAGTGGGCAAAGTAAGCTTGTAAAAATGACCTGTGCTGGTGCCCCAAGTCAGGGACAGCTGGGTGGGCCACAGAGGCTGCAAGTTATGAGATTTGGGCTTTCCGCCCCAGCTTCGCCTTTTCCTAGCTGTGCCTCAGGGCTGGTAGGAGGCACGTCCACAGCCATAGCACCCAGCCCACCCAAGGATCCAACCAATACATTTGCTTTAACACAGACATCCCAGAAGCCTGGCCCGCGTAGGCACTCTCAACGGGCAGCTGCAAATTCCTGCAAAAAGGCATCCTACTCTGGAGAAGTCTGCAGGCCTGGAAGTTCTCCTCAGACTCTCCCGCTTGTCAGTGCACAGATTCCGGGGCCTCCTTCGCCCCAGCCGACACTACCTCACAGCTCTGGATCAGAACCATAGCACCTCAGCCGGAGGCACTGGGCTGGCCAAGGAGCTGCCCAGGGAAGGGGCGGGGTGGCTCAGGAAGCACAGTGAGATGAAAACAAGGGGTCTTAGACCCCATGGAAACTTGAACCTCAGCACACAGGCTTGTGTTGCTTAACTCCAGGGAGCGATGTGGGAATGACACAAATTCCTGTAAACTTTCAAAGACACATATAATCCTTTCCCCAGAAAATGCTTCCTGGGCCCGAGATTTGAATACATTTGTAGGGTCCCGAATCCATTCTCCAGAGCCAGGAAGGGATTTCAATCAGGAAAATCATGGCCACGCCGCGGGTGCAGGGGCCCCATGGTGAGCCCGGGCCCCCCAAGTAGTCC